TTTTTTTGCCATATATGACTTTGTTACATTAATTCTTGACCCTGTAATAGTCTACAACACATGTGACGGGACTTACTGCGAACCCTCCGTATGTATGTTGACTGAGGAAGCTGAACCAGACCATCATAAACATACACTGACACTATTCGCTGCCAACCTTGTGCCAACTTTGTATGTGTTTAAAGTATGTAAGTTAGTAAAATATTAAACGCTTCGCGGTCGTATGAATTCAAACATTTAATCAATTAAAACCGCTGGTTTCTGACCTTTCCCTCCCTGGACTTACTGAAAGCTTGCACAGCTGCTTCCGCTTCCGACCGTCCTTCCTGACGTGTGGCTAATGCAGCTGCAGGCGTCAAGGAATCACATGTCTGAGACTCCGCAACGTGCCTGAAGCTGCACGTTCCACGTGTTGGCCCAGGAGGTCAGGACGTACATAGCACGTTTTAGATGCACTAAAAAGTATCCAAAAATCAAAAAAGGACGGTAGGACGTCATTCCTGACCACAGAAATCTGGAAATCATCCCACAGACCTCACCTCACATCGACTTGCACACACAGGAGCTGGTCACTAAATCCAAGGTGACAACGAACTGCGAGGACCCCGCATGACGAGCCTGGCCCCGCAGGTCCCGCCCAGCACCTGGCTCATCCCCACACCAGCGCCCTGGCCGCCTGGGGAAAGGGGCCTCATGGGCTCCTCTGAGGGTGCTGGCCAGACGCCTCACAGCCCTCTGTCCCGGTCGGGGGACTCCGGGCCCAGCCGCAGCCCCAAGGGGCCCCGCGGACGCAGCCTGAGCCGGGGCAGGTGCGCCCGGAGTCCCGGTGTCTGTGGCGCAGGCTGGACCCCTGTGGGGGAGGGGTATGGGGGAGGTGGACTGGAGACAGGTGGGGCGCTGACCCCAGCTCCCCTTTCAGAAACTGCCTCCACAAGGCCCCGGGCTCGTTAGGCCAACAGGAGCCCCAGCAGGGCCCCCCAGCGCGGCTGAGACCTGGCCACGGCCTAAACTGTGGGGCGTCCTGCAGGGGAGCCCCCGAGGATGCAGACACATTCTCTGCTCTGCACTGGGCCGCCCACTGTCACCTGCCAAGGCCACGTCACCTCACCTGGCAAGAAGACCCTGGGGACAAGTCCGGGGGGGAGATATGGTGTGGCACACACCGGATGGGCCCTCTGATGCCACTGGGCCTCTCTGTGGCCAGGCCTGGCATGCAGCACGGGCAGAGCCCCAGGGCAGCATCAGCAGTGGCCCTGATCCCGAGGGGGAAAGAAACCCCCAAGCAGCGGTGGGGTCTGGGACGGGGGGGGGGGGACACGACACCCCTTGCAATGCCCCTGAGACTCGTGTCCTGAGCTCCAGTTTCAGGTGAGGACACTGCATGGGGCCTCCCGGTGTCCTCCCTGCCCTCCCAGGTGAGTGGGGTGCGCTGGGGGTGGGGGGGACGCTGATGGGGGTCACTGTTTGCACTGCAGGGAAAAGAGAAGCAATGCCCCCTGGCGGCAAATACTGAGGGAAATGTCCCCAAATTCGGCTCTGCAGTGGTAGTGCCAAGGTCACCTCTCCCTGGACACTTCTCAGGCTCCCCCGTCACTGCAGGAGTGGCCTCTAGCCCCTTTGCTGTCCCCCTGTGAGTGGGGCCTGGCTTGGGGAGCTGCTGTGACGCCAGAGGGGGTGGGGGGCATCTGAGCCTCACCGGCGCCACGAGGGTTGCTAGGGCCTGGGTGGAACCACGTGGGGCTGCGTCCGCTGGCTCTGCCCCGTGGGCTCCCGCGTGGACTCGGTTTCACAGGTGGAGGGACCTCGGCTGCGACAGATGGTCAGTGACTCGTGAGGGAAATGTTGCCTGTTCTCAGTAAGAGCAACAGATCCCGACGCCGCGCACTGAGCAGTGCCGCGGGTGGCGGCCGTGGAGCCGGCGACCGGAGCCATTGGTGCTACGGGGCTAAGGACTCGGAACTTCACTTCCCGTGAGAAGTCAGGGGCCAGCCACGGGCCTCGCCAGGGCGCAGCGACGGGACGGAGACGTGGAGTCTGGGGGAAGCGCCCTCGCGTGCCCTTCGCCGGGCAGTGGCGCCCCTCTTGCCCTGCCAAGCTGGCGCACTGCCCGCTGTGGCGCACTGCCGCGCCGCTCCGGGCGCCCTGCCTCGGGCCCCCGCCCGGGGACGCCCCCTCCTCACCACCTCCCTGGACTGTGACGGCGGCGCCCCACACGCGCCCGCCTGCCACTCCGGCCCCCGGGAGCCCAGACCGCGCCAGCCGGGCCTGCTCCCAGCCCCTTCTTCAGCGCAAGTCCAGGCTCTGAACCGCCCTGGACACCGTCACCCAGGCTCTTAGCTCAGGGGCTACTCCCTCCCCTGGGGACTCAGGCATCTCCGCAGCTGCACACGCCATCTGCCCTGGAAAAGCTCGGCCGTTCGCTCCCAGCCTGCGCGCCCGGCCCGAGGGCGCCCGCCCCTCCCCAGAGCCCAGACCCCCAGGGCTAACACGGCAGGCCGAGGCCTCCCACAGCCACATGGCCCACAGCTGAGCGTCTGCCGGGCGAGGGGGTCAGCCCTGGCGGCCCCGAGAGCCCCTTGAACCATGGATCTCCCCTGCCGCTCACACCCAGCCACCCCGCTTGGCCAGACCGGGCCTCGCGGCGGGGGCCGGCGAGGGGCCAGCGCAGAGCAGCGCAGAGGCAGCGCAGGCCCGGGGGCTCCACCCCGCGGGCCGCCGGAGACGGGCGTGCGCAGAGCCCTTTTATGCAACCTGTACTTCCGGGATCGTGGTGTGGACCAATCAGGAGTGAGCTGCCTGCTGATTGGTGCTGAGTGGCCCAGTCAGCTGCGGGATTAAGAAAGGGTCCCTCAGCCTGTGGGCCGGCGCCCCGCGAGCGGGCACACGCCAGAGCTGCCGTGAAGGGAAGAGGAACCGCCGGGGGCCGCCCGCGGGGCCTCGGTGCTGCCTGGGGTCCCACAGAGCTGTTGTTGGTGTCACCCCACAGCTCACAGAGCTGTGAACACTGGGTGTCCCTGACACGGCCTCTGGGGCCAGCAGTGACCGCCCCTACCGGCCAGTGCTGTCCTGACTCCCGATGACCAGCAGTGCCCATCCCTGACGTCTGGGGAGGCAGCCCCACGTGTGGCCCCAGTGAGCGCTTTCTCTGTCCGTGGGCCCGGCCGGCTGCTCCCGGGCCCCAGGCCTCTTGAGTGGACGGCCCTGTGCTCTCAGGCCCTGTCCTCCGAGGGGCTCGCGCCTCCGTCTTGACCTTGTGGGGTCCTTTGCGGCTGTCGCGTCTCAGAGCCCAGGCAGCGGGCTGCCACGCTGGACCCGAAGTCCGTGATGCGGCCTGACTCCAGCTCTGCAGGGTTTTCTTCCTCTTGTTTTGGAAACGCGAGAGCTGGAGGCAGGCGAGTAAAACACCCCAAGGGCCTGCGCCGGGAATCAAGCTGGAGGGCAGCAGGGACACACCCCGGAAAGTGGCGCAGCCCATGAGCAGGCGCCACTGGGGGCGAGGCGTGGTGGGCCCAGGCCAGCCCCCCCACAGCGCGTCTTCAGGGTGCACATCCCCGGCCCAGGCCAGCCCCCCACAGCGCGTGGGCACCGCAGTCCCCCCTGGCACGGTCTGTCCAGTGCCACCTCTGAGCTCGTCAGGTGTGACTCGGCGCCCCCCACAGGGCACTGGCCAGCGCTCAGCATAGCCCGCACCCGTGCATCACACCCTAGTGTCACAAAGAGCGGATCGGTGACTCGTGTGCCCCCAGACTCCATCACCGCGCCCCAGGCCCCCAGACACCTGCCAAGGGCGCACTGGGGCTTGGGCATATGGTGGAGTGAGTGGAGTGGGCAGGGTGGCCGGCAGGGTCCTCTAAGTAGTGGCCAAGTCAAATAAACTCGGAAAGGGACTTGGCCTTGTAAGTAGTCCTTGACACCCAGAGGTCACAACAGCTGCAGCCCCTCCTCCCCCCCC